TGGACAAAAAGAACTCCAGGAAATGTAATATTGGAGCCGAGTTCTGTGGTCATGGAGGTAGGAAGTTTGAAGAAAAACCTGAAGCTCAATGGACTGAAAGGAGGTGGCCTCAGGGCAAGACCCCACCCAGCCTGTGAAAAGGAAAGCTTAAGCAGGGAAGGAAACCGTCAACATTAGAAAGCTGATGCAGATGTAGTTAAAGGAGGGGCCGAGTTCCAGCCCCATCAAGCAGCAGAACTTGGCTGCTTCAACCATTGCTTTAGAGTCAAGAGTCCAAGAAAGGGGTTGTGGAATCTTCCTCCATGGCTAAGGACAAGCATATGTCGGGGGTGTGTGTCTCTTCATGGAGGCCCAGAGAGGCCACTGCATGAAGCTGTGAATGTGAAGCCTTGACTGTGTTAGAGATCCCAAGATGTTAGAGTTGCCAGAGTCATGGGACACCTGCCAAGGAGAGCTGCAGACTGGGTGTGGAACCAGCCCAAGAGAGAGAAGTGTGTTGCAGTCAATAAAGCTGAAAGGAGTTGGAGATCTGAAGAGTCATTTTGACAGCAGACATGGAGATGCAGAGTTTGGTGTTTGCCCTGCTAGGTTTCAGACTGGCTTTGGTCCAGTATTTCCTCACGATGCTCCCTTTCCTCCCTTTTGGAATGGTAATATATATTCTGTGCCAGTGTATATTGGAAGTGTGTGATCTGCTTTTTTATTTTGATCTACAGGGGGTTACAGTTAAGGGATTTTCTTGAGTCTCAGAAGAGACTTCGAACCTTGAAGCAGTCTTGAGACTAAATACTATGGGGACTTTAAAGCAGGGCTGAATGGATTTTGCATTATGATATGGTGGCTACGAGCCTTTGGGGACCAGGGAGTGGAATGTGGTGGTTTGAATAAGAATGGCCCCTATAGGCTCATATAGGTGTGGCCTTTCTGAAGGAAGTATGTCATTGTGGGTGGGTTTTGAGGTTTCAAAAGCCCACACCTAGGCCCAGGCCCCGGCTCAGTTAGTGTCTGTCTGTCTGTCTGTGGGTCAGGACACAGCTCTCAGCTACTGCTGCAGCACCATCTGTGCTGCCCTGCTTCCTGTCATGATGATCATGGACTAACCTCTGAAACTGTAAGCCAGCCCCCATTTAAATGCTTTCTTTTATAAGGGTTGCCTTGGCCATGAGGTCTTGCCACAGCAACAGAACGGTGACTAAGACATGTCCCCTTTGGGTGAGCATCCTGTCCTGGCCTCGGAAAGTCACCTCTTTGTGCCATCTCATTCCTTTCTCTACCGAGCCTTCAGCTTGCTTCCATCTGCTGCACCCCGTTTTCACACATTCCCCCTCAATGTTCTGATGTTCCATCCTTTCTGACCCACCCAGTTACTTCTGCTACACTCGCCAATAACCCAGGACCTCAGGATGAGGTCCTTTTCAGTCTTTATTTCCAGGCCCTAATGCCACCACAGTTATTTAACAGAAACTACTTGGAAACAGAAACTTTATTTCTACTTCTGTAAGCTAAGTGTGGTAGCGGTCTCCTTTAATCCCAGACTCGGAAGGCAGAGGCAGGTGGATCTCTGTGAGTTAGAGGCCAGCTTGGTCTGTAGAGTGAGTTCCAGAATAGTTAGATCTACATAGTAAAACCCTGTCTCAAAACAATTTTTTTCTACTTATAATTTTTAAAGAAATACAGAAAGAAAAAAAAAGCCAGTGAGATGTCTTCATGGCAGGAGAGAAGGAGGGAGAAAGAGAAAGGGGTTTTAGTGGAAGGAGAGAGAAGGAACATACCACATTTACCATGTGCTGTGTAAGCCTCAGGATGCCAGGGTGCAGAGGGCATGAAGTCACTGCTGATAGAGTGCAAACTGGCACAGCCATTTGAGAGCAGAGTTGGGTTTTAGTAAAGTCGATTATTTATCACTGCCAACTGCCGATCACGTCTGGTGTCAGTAGTGTCCTCCCTCAGCTCCCCTCTAGTTTAAGCAGTTAAGAGCATGAGCTGTGCTTTCAGAGGACCTGACTTCCATTCCCAGCACCCACGTCTGGCAGGTCCCCCCCCTCCCCCATAACTCCAGCTCTAGGGGATCAGACACTCTTATGGCTTCTGCAGGCACACACACACACACACACACACACACACACACACACACACACACACACACACACGCACACGCACACACACACGGCATATGCAGACACAGAGACACAAATACATACATATATTTGAAAATAAAGTAAATCTTTTAAAAGATTTATTTATGTATTATACATACAGTGTTCTGCCTGCATATATGCCTGCCGGCCAGAAGAGGGCACCAGATCTCATTACAGATGGTTGTGAGCCACCATGTGGTTGCTGGAAATTGAACTCAGGACCTCTGGAAGAACAGCCGGTGTTCTTAACTGGTGAGCTATCTCTCCAGCTACAAAAATAAAGTAAATCTTAACAACAACAAAAAAGAAAAAAAAAAAAGAAAGAAAGAAATCTGATGAGTGAGGTGGCATGTGCCTTTAATTCCAGCACTCGAGAAGCAGAGGTTCGGGGAGCTTTTTGAGTTCAAGAACAGCCTGGTTTATATAGTAAGTTCTAGGACAGTCAGGGCTACATAGAGAGACTCTGCCTCTAAATAAATAAATACATTCAGTCAATCAAAATAAATTTTAAAAATTTCACCTCATATATATTAATTGTGGGACAATAGAAAGCAAAAGCAGAATCTTAGGAAGAGCCGGACAGCACAGAGCCATCCATCCAGACACGGCCTTCCGCTCTTTTCCTGTGTCTGACATCACAGAATGCCACTTTGAAACAGCCTTTGAGAATCCTACCCCTCTCCATCTTAATACTCTTAAAATAGTAACTTGGCTGTGACCAAGTGTGGGAAACACTCTAACCGTGGTGAAGGTTAATGGCACTGGTAGCTGTCACATGCCCCAGGAGAACGTGACAGAAGACACTTTCCCTCAGTGGCACTTTGAAAATGTCTAATATCAACTTATTCAGGAGGAAGCCATTAGAGGAATCCCAGCTGATAAGCACAGGACAGGGGTCCCCAGTCAAAAATGTCAACACCATGGGAAACAAGGAATGACTGGGACCCTTCAGAACAGGAGGGAGAAGATGAGAGTTAAGTGCTCTCTGCTACCTTGCGCTGGAGCCTGGACCTAAAGGACAGAGGGGATTCAGAGTTTAGTGGACAGCCCCTACCCTGGAGCTGGCTGCTTAGCTGTGGCCAGTGTTCTTGATATCACACAGTGCAAATAAACAGGGCAACAGGCGAGGCGTACACAGAGCTCCCAGAAATATATACATTTGCACCTTTTTTTTTCCAAGCTGGAAATTATGCTGAAATAAATAAGCTTTTAGGACAAACATTATCCTTAGGTTCCACATTAAAAAAAAAAAAGTATGGTTTTTTTGTACGTTCCTAAAAAACGGTTATGAAGTATCTAAAGCAGGAATTTACAAACATAAATCCACAATTGTAATGTGAGATTTAAAAATAACCCCCATTAACATGGAGTATTTTTAACCCATGACTGATATTTAAAAATACCCCACTGAGGGCCTAGAGAGAGTGCTTGCCTAGCACATCCGAATCCCGGCTCCGTGCCTAGCATAAACCCAGGTGTGGTGGTCCAGGCCTGTGATCCCAGAACCCTGGAGATTAGAAGCTGAAAGTTACCCCTGGCTAATCACTGATTTCTAGGCTAGCCTGGGATTCATGAGGCCCTGTCTCAAAAAACCCAAAACAAAACAAACCAAAAAATGCCACGAGAGAGAGAAAGTGATAAGATTAATTAGATGAAAAATATTTTCACAGACCGCTTCCATTCTCCTATTCCAGTGTGCCTTCCCCCTCTCTAGAGAGGATGGGAGGAGGAAGTGGCCTCCCTGAGTCCCTTACAACGGGTATTTTTTTTTTTTTGGTTTTTCGAGACAGGGTTTCTCTGTGTAGTTTTGCGCCTTTCCTGGGACTCACTTGGTAGCCCAGGCTGGCCTCGAACTCACAGAGATCCGCCTGGCTCTGCCTCCCGAGTGCTGGGATTAAAGGCGTGCGCCACCACCGCCCGGCCACAACGGGTATTTTATTTATTCCTATCTATTTAATTTGGGACAGGACCTCAGACATCCAGGCTGGCCTCTGAACTTGAAGAGTTCTTAAGCTACCTTCACTTTTTCTTTCTTTTTTAAAAAACTTTTTGAGACAGATCTCACCACGCAGCCTTAGCTGTCCTGGTACCTACCATGCAGCCAGGCTGACCTCGAACTCAGAGATCTGCCTGCCTCTGCCTCCTGAGTGCTGGGATTAAAAGTGTGTGCCACTATGCCCAACAAACGCAATTTTTAAAAATTAAAAAAAAAATTTAAAATAGTGGGAGGAGGGGGGAAAGAATGGTAAATGAAATCATCGCATGTGGGAATAAATACTATTAAAATTTAAAAACCAAGTGATATGGTTATGAGAATGTTACCCATAGTTATGAAATTAGGCAAACTAAGTCGACCTCAAAGAAAACCCCCAAAGTTCCCCAGAGTGGAGGGTGAGAAATGAGAGGAAGTCTTTCTATTTCTAGGCGTTCTATTGGGCTGGAAGGCACACATGCATCTAGATATATTGTATTCCAGACAATCTTAAAATAACTAATTAGGAAAAACATCAGATTTGAGTCTAACAACCCCCTAGGGTCTCGACACCTCCCCCACTCTGTTTACGTTCTCAGGCAGCTTTCAGGATCCAGGGGGCCTGGGACTCCTTTGCCCACGCACCCTGCTGCGTTGCTGGGAGCCAGAGTGATTGGCACCTCCTCCCAGAAGCCCTCGGCAAGGAGCGAGCGCCGCCTGCTGGAAATGAACGCCAACACCCCTAGCGAGTCGCTGTGGAGCACCACTAGGTCCCGCCCCCCGCCCCACCCCAGCCCGGGATCAAGGACCCTCTCCCCCGCATCACGTGCTCCTACCTCCCCAATGCACCCCCCCCTCCCCCGGCCCTCAGGCTTGGAGTTTTAGGCTTGGGATTCTTGTTTCAGAATGGGCTCTATAGGAGTGCGGTGTTAGGGTGATGGCTTTCTGCTCCATGTAGAGTTTAGAGCTAGGCTTTGCATTTCAGAGAGAATCTCCTCTTTTCTGCTCTCCGTGTGCTCTTGGGCAGTCTCTGAATTAGCTAGGCTGAAGTGAGATACTAAACAGTGCCATTGATAAGTAGTGATTTTTTTTTTTCTTTCGAGACAGGGTTTTTTTGTGTAGTTTTGGTGCCTGTCCTGGATCTCGCTCTGTAGCCCAGGCTGGCCTCGAACTCACAGAGATCTGCCTGGCTCTGCCTCCTGAGTGCTGGGATCAAAGGCGTGTGCCACCACCGCCCGGCGCGATAAGTAGTGATTTTTTTACCCTATCCTATGTAAGAGGATACTGGAAAGTTCAGAGGAACTGGCCCTGAGGGCCACCTTCTCCCCTGGGCGTGAGGTGGGGCACTTCTAAGAGGTGAGGTTCCTAGCTGGACTCTCTAAGGGTTACTAGCACGCACCAGGACTCTCTGCATGACTTTTTGGCCACCGGAAGCTTCAGAAATCTTTGCAATCACTGGCCTTCCCAGATAGAGTGCTGGTCTGCACAGAGGGGCCAGCAGGGATGGAAGGGGCCAGCAGCCTCAGGCCTGGACAAGCTACCATGATTGAAGGAATGGATTCCCCAGAGGGCGATGGAAGAGTCTCTGCACTCATCAAGGAGGGGGCCAGTGCAAGGGGCCTGTCCCCTTCTCCAACCCCGTACCCTCAGAGGGTCCGGAGAAAATCCAGGAAGTGTGGAATCTGTCCGCAGGATGAGGAGGAGGCAGGCTTTTCCTTGGGGCTTGGTCAGAGCCTTGATGGGCACTGCCGTCCTGTGCAGAGTGCGTCTCTGGAGTCATCTGCAGGTCCCCAAAGACTTATTTCTTCTAAGGACACTGGTCCTGAAGATCCAGGTGGAAGTTGGGTAGAACCTGCCCCAGAGGCCGCGTTTGAATGCATGCTCTTTTCTAAGAATATGGCTCAGGCAGGCAGCCTCGATCACCTTTTTGGATTCCCAGAGCTCTTTGGAGATGAGTCCCTTAGTCTGATCACACAGGACCCTCCCCAGAGCCCAGCGCTGTACCCAGGGGTGCTGTCTGAGGGTTCTACAGAGCAGCAGGAAGCACAGCCGGTGTTTGTGGTTGGCAGCTCTGGCTCTCCACCTGACCCAGAGGGGCCACAGGTCAACGCCCAGCCAGTGTCCAGGCTGGAGCTGGGACAGGGATTTGCTGCTCCAGCTGAGCCCTTGGGTGGTCCCAGTGGTGCATCCCTGGGGCAGAGAAGACCCAGGCACGTGAATAAGTGGCAACAGACTGGCCCAGTGTCCTGTGCTCAAAAGCAGCATACAGTCAACTCCAGCCAAGATCAACCCGAGGAAGTCATTCAAAGAGGTTGCCCCAGAGTGGTAAGTTGAGCCTGATAGTTTAGGATGGGGTAGCTCCTATTTCCCTCCTCCAGGCCGTGACACTTAACAGAGGTAACCTCCATTGTTTCTTAGTGAACATTTTCTCTCATGCTTGTACTGTTTGGATCACTGGAGATTGGACCCAGGGCCTCATGCACACTAGGCAGACACTCTGTGAACGACTAAGCTATTTCCCCAAACCCCTTTTACATTTTAGTTTAATAGAGGGTCTCACTAAGTTGCCTAGGCTGGCTTTGAACTCATTGTAGCCTTCGCTAGCTTTGAACTTCTAATGCTAAAGCTTCAGTTTCTCAAGTTCTGGGATTACAGGTGTGTGCTGCTGCACCCAGCTTCCCAGATGATGTACACTGAAATTCTGGAGTCAGGAGATGAAAAATAAAATGAAAAATAAACTATATTATTGAGTTCCTGGGAGGGTCATTATCTTTTGGAGGCAGCAAGTCCTGGGTTCAAATCTTGCTTCAGCCTACTTCTGGAGGGATCACCTTCTATTTTAATAAACTTTCTCTTATTTAAAAATAGGAAATATTGCCAGGTGGAGGTGGTGCACACCTTTAATCCCAGCACTGGAAGGCAGAGCCAGGTGGATCTCTGTGAGTTTGAGGCCAGCCTGGTCTACAGAGCGAGTTGCAGGATAGACTCCAAAGCTAAACAGAGAAACCCTGTCTTGGAAAAAAAGGGGGGGGATATCATAACCTGGGTGAGGTGACTGTCTTAATTAGGGTTTCTATTGCTGTGAAGAGACACCATGACCACAGCAACTCTTATAAAGAAAACATTTAATTGGGGGTGGCTTACAGTTTCAGAATTCAGTCCATTATCATCATGATGGGGCGCATGGCGGTGTGCAGGCAGACATGGTGCTGGAGCTGAGAGTGCTAGCTACATCTTGCAGGCAACAGGAAGTTGACTGAGGGAAGCTTGAGCAAAAGAGACCTCAAAGCTGGGGGGGACACAGTGACACACTTCCTCCAACAAGGCCACACCTCCTAATAATGTCACTCCCTTTGAGGGCCATTCAAGACGAGGGGGGGCATTCCATAAAGTGGAATGAGCTCCACTTTACCAGATGGGGAAACTGAGGCTCAGGGAAGTTACCTTTCCTGGCTCACACAGTAATGGACAGTAGTTAAAATATTTCCTCTATTCACAGTTTCTCTTTGCATTCATTGTCCATTTAATTATGATACTAATTTTGTCAATAATCATGTCTAATGTCTATCAACCAGGGGTGAAAGATGGCACTTATTTTTTCCCACATAGTTGGCTGTTTTTACAATGATGGAGTGTGAATTATGTGCTCGGTGTTTTTGATATAATTATATGAAGCATAGGGAGGGAAGAAAATGACAACTGAGTCACAAACCCAGGTAGTTCTCGTGTGAACTTGAGGTGCTGCCTGCCCCTCCATTTTCGGTGTTAGCACCCTGGGTGCTGGGTGCTGAGTACCTGATCTGCAATCTTTGTAACAAGGTAGACACTGATGATATTGCACTGATGTGGCCACAGAGGCTTTAAGAGATAAAATGACTGATCAGGGTCAAACAGCTCATTACTAAGACTGAGACGGGAGGTAATGAGCTGCCTGTGTGTTTATCCCTGTTTGTAGGATAGTCGCATCCCAACACTATGACATTGTTCTTGCAAGCATCTGTATTTTGCATTTTAGGTGGTAGGTCAAGGTCTTAGGTAGCCCAGGCTAGCTTCAAACTCCCTATGTAGCCAAGGCTGACCTGAATTCTTGACCCTCTAACCTTCGCCTCCTAAGTGGTGGGATTGTAGGCACGTATCACTACACCTGGCTCAAAACCACTGATCTGTTTTGTCGTTGTTTAGACTTATCTTATTATTTACTTTGCATATGTGTCTGTGTAGGGTGTGTGTACATGAGTGCAGGAGCCAAAGGAGGCCAGAAGAGGCCATTGGATTCTGGAGCTGGAGTTACAGGTGGTTGTGAACCTTGAAATGGGTGCTGGGAACTGAACTCAGGTCCTCTGGAAGAACAGGCTTAACCTCTGAGCTATCTCTCCAGGCCCCAAACCATTCATCTTTAATTTCAAAAGAAATATGAATACATCTTAGGAAATAAAGAGGAGCCGGGTGGTGGTGGCACTCAGGAGGCAGAGGCAGGCAGATCTCTAAGTTTGAGGCCAGCCTGGTCTACAGAGCTAGTTCCAGGACAGCCAGTACTACACAGAGAAACCCTGTCTCAAAAAAAAAAAAAACAAAAAAACAAAACAAAACAAAGAAAGGAAGAAAGAAAGAAAGAAAGAAAAAAAAAGGAGATGAAAACCCTGCATGCTACAGAGTCCAGCGCAGCCTCCTGTGGACATCTGGAGCAGACTTTTCATGCATCTTTTTCCTATGCTTATGTCTTATCTTACTCCAAACTGTGATAATTGTGCCACATTTTATTTTTCTTTTTGATACTTAAGATATTTCACAATTAGGATGAGATTTAGATCAGTTGGCAGAGTGCTTGTCTACCATGCACAAAGCCCTGGGCTCACCGTTGGGGAGCACTGGATAAACAGGGTGCAGTGGGGTACACCTATAATTCCAGTACTTGGGAGGGGGAAGGGGGATCAGGGAAGCTGAGTAGGGCTTGCTGTGGGGGATGGGCAGGAGGCTCACTGGAGCTTGCTGGAGACTGTCAGCTTACCTCCAGGTTCAGTGGGAGACCTTGTCTCAGGAATAGTGTGGGAGCATTGATAGAAGGGTACGTTCTGCACCCTCCTCTGGCCTCTGCACGTGTACAGATGCTCATCCCCGTGCACACACACACGTGTGCATACACCACACACAAAAAATTCATACCTAATGTTTTAGTAGAGTAAGCAGTTTCTTTGAATGCCTCTGAGACTAACCACCGTCGTTGGGAAATGACCACCTTTTGAGGCTGGTGTCCTTCAGGCTCCTTTTTGTGAGTGTCTGTACATACAGATATGGCCTTAGCCTTTTTGTGTGGGACTAGGAGCCCACACTACACGGTGTGGTTGTTTTTAGGCTCTGCACTATTTGAACCAGAGCCTTTCCAGGTTGGTGCACACTGTTCTGCAGAAGTTCTGCCTTTCCTGACTCTGCGTCAGAGCCGACTGTAGCTGTGTGTGCCGCAGCCACGGGCACTGAGATGAGAGGCTGGGCAGGGCCTTCCTTTTCTCATTCCCAGTCCCTGCAGCGTACTGAGAGCTGCCACTCAGCCTCAATTTGCCTGATGACCCAAGCAAGTGCCTTCGCCTTCCTGGATGTCATTCTTTTCTATGGAAGACGTGGGTATTAATAATACCTTGTGGGGTGATGGTGAGGAGTCAGTGCGATGACACATTTGGCATTTAACTCGGTGCTTGTGACAGGGAAGCTGCTCCGGGGTGTTCCTGAAATACGCAGTTTGGTTGTGTTGTAAGGGATGCTGGGGTGAGGTTCCTGGTACGTTTGATTTCTCCCCACTTAAGATAACTTACTTGGATGGGATGCCAGGATTGGGATTGCTAGGGCTGCAGCGTTTTCGGGGGGCTTGTTGGAGTGGAGCGGTGTGACCAGCTTTCCTGCCTGACTGGATGCAGCCCACAACTGCATGCTACTCCAAGCACCATCCTTGATAACTGCAGCATAGCCTATCATCCCACAGCTGCCCAAACAACCCGTTGCCATGGAAACTGGTGCCAGCTGCAGGAGAAGAATTGGGGCTGGGTTGTGACAGGGACAGGCAGTGGGTGGTTAAGGACAAGGCTGAGTGGGGTGTGGACAAGCATGGGTGTTGAGCCCAGCTTGTTATCTACCAGAGCCCCTCGGGCACCCAGAACTTTTTCCTGGAGGTTGCCTAGGTGGAAGCAGGGGCAGATGGAAGAGTTCAAGGTCAGGCTCTTAGTACACAAAGACTCCAGGTAGAGGTTTTCCTGAGTTGTAATTGCCTTCTCTGTGAGATAGAGCATCCGCTCAGCCCGAAGATCACTGAGCTCTGATAGCAGAGCTTGGCCATGTTGTATTCCTTGAAACTGAGACTCTTGGAGGGGGTGGGACAGGGAGGAGGGCGTCAGGCCGCCATTCTCTTCTCTGGAGCTCTGCAGTATCCAGAGAGGTCAGGAGCTGCTCTGGGCATGGGGTAGGAGGTGCGGGGAGGGCGGCTCTGGCGGTCGGTTTGCCCTTTTCCCTTGAGATGTTCACCATCGTTCCTCTGGCCTGACCCAGACACCCTGGCTCAAGGTGCAGTCCGAAGCTGCCGAGTGTCAGGAGGCAGGGAGGGAGGAGAGAGCGTTCTCAGTGGGCGACCTAAGAATAGCCTGTTTATCTGGCAATGTAGCTCAGAGGTAGAGTACTTATCTAGCATGCACAAGGCCCTGGGTTCAATTCCCAGCTCTGTAAACAACCAACCAAACAAACAATTTCTTTCTCCCTTCTCAGCTCAGCTTTTTGTGTGTGTTTGTGATACGGAGTCTCACGTAGCCCAGGCTGGCCTCAAACACACTGTGGAGCCAAGGATGACTTTGAACTACTAATCCTCTTGCTTCTACTTCCTACATGCTAGGATTGCAGGCATGTGTACCAAGTCTGGTTTGTGAGGTGCTGGGGGCTGAACCTAAGGCTTCATGGAAGCTGGGCAAATACTCTACTGGCCAAGCCACACCCCAGCTACAGCTCTTTTTACTGTGAATTTATTTGCTCCATCAGGATCTTCATACTCATCATCTCATTTAACCCTCACAAGAGCACAAAAAGCCAACGTTAACATCCCCGTTCAGCCGAGAGAGAAAACTGGCGTTTGGAAATTATTGACTCACTCAAGCTTACAGGGCCACAAGGGGTGGAACCTGTGCAAGTTGAGAGGCTGCCAAAGGCCTGGATAAAGGGTTCAGATGAATAAGGAGTTTTATTGTAATTTGTAGAATGATTAGAACGGAGCAGGGGTGTGGGGGTGTGGAGTGGGGTGGGCATGTTCCTACCTGGATCTTGAAGTCTAGTGGATGGCATGAGCAGGGTAA